CCCCTCTGCCTGCGTGTCCCTTTGCCAGTATTTTTAACTTGGCCCGGCTTTTAATAAGCCTTCCGTGTTTGGGGAGCAGTAAACAATGACTTGAGAACTTGACTAATTGAAGCTCCGCTCCAAGATGACACAGAGGCCTGCTCCTGGACCCATGCAGGGAGGCCCCTTCCTGCCTGGGCCAGGCAGTACCGCCAAAGAACCATAATGCCAGGGAGTCCCCACCCCCACCTCCCAGGGGTTGCAGCAAGGAGTCCCCCACCCTGACTTCCCCACAGCCTGGCCCTGCCTCAGATGCTGCCGCCTCCTCCAGGCAGCCCTCCATCTCCATCCCACCACGAGCATCATTCTCCCCTGCTCAGCGCCAGGGCAGAAGACCCAACCCCTCTCTCCAGGGGCAGCTGCTGGTGATTCTGCTTTGGGCCAATTGGCCCTTCGTCTCCATGTGCCTCTTGCTCTGGCCTCTCCTGGCACGTGGGGACCTGCAGGCCCCATGGTAGGTTTTCTGTCCTCTCCAGTCTGCAGTTGCTACCTCTTCCCTCTGAGCAAGACCCCTCTTGGTAGCTCCTGTGCAGACACTGGGGGAACTGCCCCCACAGGACCCTGGAGCACTTTCCTTCTCCTTTTCTCCCTCCTCCCCCCACTGTGGCTTTGAGCCTCCATCAGTCACCCTGGGCTGCCTGGTCACAGCCCTGGTCCCCCTGCTGCTCCTCGCCGTGCCCCCCCACCAAGATGGACTGTGGTCCCACCTGAGGATAGGAGTGCTGCTCTCCTCTGTGGGGAGAAACCCACCCCCAAGTTATGGAGTGTCCCACAGAGGTAAACAGTGAGTGCTCAATAAATGTCAGAGAGACCCCTGCGGGGGAAGGGAGGTAACCATAGTCACAGTGGGTTTTGCAGGAAACCAGTGAAGTGATCCCTCTTTATATGACCCCAGGGACCCCCAAGCCCAAAACACACCTACTCCCCACATGGCTGATGCCTACACCAGCCACATTAGCTGGGATCCCAACACCAGCTTCACCTGCCACGGCCCACAGGGGCCTGGGGTGGGCATCGTGAGTCCACATCTGTACGGTAGGGCTAAGGCCCCTGCCCTGAGGGCCCCTCACAGGCTCTTGCAGGGCCCTGGGGCTGGCTTCAGGGTGAAGCCTGGGAGCCTGGGCAGCGCTGGGGCACAAGCAGGCCCACTGACCATGAGTGCAAAAGGGGCAACATGGCTGCTGACCTGCAGGAAATAGCCTCTCTCAAGGATGGGGTCCACCCCAGCGCACCCCCATGGCGGGGGGTGATGATGACCAGCCAGTGGGCCAGCTGGCGGCAGGCACCCTGGAGCCCCCGACTGTCACGTTGCCACCCCACTTGGGCACACCACTTAGTTCTGCCTGGAGGGGGCACTGTGCAGAACAGAGCTCTGGCCGCCTGCCCGGCCGCATCTGCTGCCTCCTCCTGCCCCCGCTGGTCAGGACAGAGCCGGCAAGGGGTGAGCTTCGCAAAGGGGGTGCACTTTGCAAACACGAGGCGTGGCTTGGACCCCAATGTCCCCCGCCCCGACTCTGTGAAAACATCTTGGTGACTCTCGCTGGAGAGTGGGGTTCAGACATCGAGGCAGAGGCCAGCTGCTGTGGGGGGCAGAGTGAGGCCTCTGGCGCCACATTTCCGGGGTGTGGAGTTAGGGCTAATGAGCAAATCTGAGCACCGTGACTGTGGAGCAACTGAGAGGGCCCCTCCAGGGCCCAGATGCTGCTGCGTTCCTTCACGGGTCCCGAGGCCCCTGGGAAGGGGTGCAGCAGGGGACTGGCCACCCGGTGCTGGCGGGGAGCAGGCCCCATGTAATCTGGGCCAGGGCAAGGCCGGCCACCCGCACCTCTCTCCCCGCCCCAGCCTCAGTTTCCTACTAGGTGTCCAGGGGCAATCAGGACAAGAACCCAAACTCCCGGGGCCCACCCCATTGCCTCCTGTCCTGCCAGGCCCCCCTCCCAGTGCCACCTGACCCCCCCCTAGCCACACTGGCCACTGACACCTGCTGCCCACATGCCCAGAAATGCCACCTCCAGGCTCCGGCTCCTGTTGTTGCCTCGACCTGAGACCCCTGCTCAGCCTGTCAGAGGCAGGCCCACCCCAGGGCCAGCACCAGCACCAGCCGCCCCTTTGAGGTGGGGGCGTGACCCCCCTGCTCAGTTGCCAACTCTGAACCTTCCTCAGGGGTCCAGAGTGGCCAAACTGGGGCCCCGGACAGATTTCAGCTGGTATGTGTCTTCCTTCAGGGGGGTGCAGGGCCCAGGCGGGGGTGCTGCTGCCAGGTAAAGTGGAATTCAGATAAAGGGGGGTGCGTAGAGAAGAGCATGGACAGACAGACGGGCAGACTGGGGTTGGCGCTGGGCAGTCTGCTTCCTCCTCTCTGAGCCTGGGTGCTGACCGCAGAGGGAAATGCGCCAGGCCCGCTGTGCCCACGGTTAGCGCCCAGGGGTAGCTGGTGGTCAGCGGCACCCAGAGGAGGAACAGAGGGCGATTTCTGGCCCAAGGTCCCCAGTGGACACAGCCCTGGGCTGGATGGGCGGCCGGGGGCCTCTCCCTGGCAGGCTGCAGGAGCCCCAGGAGGCCCAGGCGAGGCCTTAGAGCACTTGGAAGGCTTCCCAGCAGAGGTGACCTTGGGATGGGCCTTGGAGGGTACAAGTTTGCCAAATGCAGGGGAGGGGGAGGCCTTCCCAGCGACAGCAGTGGGACCAGCTCGAGCCAAGGCGCCAATGCGCCCAGCTATTTTGGGAGCCTTGTCAGAGGCCTGTTGGAGTGAGGGGAGCAGCTGTCCCTGAGGCTGAGGGTTGTGGGGGGGCTGCCCAGCCAGGGTCCCAAATGCCAGGACTCTGGGCAGTGAGGAAGAGAGTCTTAAGCAGCTCAGAGAAGAGGAAGGACAAGGTCAGAGCCGGGAAGGCTCCAGCAGCCACACCCGCCAGCAGCCCTAGGGGAGGAAGTGGGGGCAGGATAAGGAGGGCAAAGGGGGACCAGAAAGGGGCTGGAGGCAGGAGCCCAGAACAAGAAGTCGAGGGGCTTGCGGGCCCTTGTAACCCACTCACATTTCCTGGCAGGGCCCCAACTTCTCTCGCACTGCCCTGCTTCCCACCCTGGGCAGGGGTTGGGGGGGTTTTGCTGACATCCTAGCATGGTGGGGGATGGAGGAGGTGGTGAGGGCTTGGAAGTTTCCAGAGTCTTAACCCCCTCTCTGCAGTCTCCAGCCACCACCGCAGCGCCCCCAGGGCACACCAACGCCCCTCTCGGTGAGCCCGCGGCGCCCCCTGCCGGCGCCGGGCAGCGAGGCGGGCAGGACGGGTGCCCTGCTCCCTGCTCCCGAGGCCGCTGCCTCCCTGGTGTGTATTTCTTAAAGGAGGGGTAGGTGCGGAGAGAAGATAAGAGAGGAGTCGTTATTAATGAAAACATGCGAAGGGAAGATATTCATTATCGTTTTCAGCCTAATGAAGCCTGTGGAAGGCTCTCTCCGGAGTGATAAATCCCCCTCGGCCGCCTGCTCCCAGCCCGGAGCCGCCCGCACGTCATCACTCATGTCACCTAGCCCCGGGCCCCCCGAATTTCTTCCTGCGGCCTGTGCGGAAGACAGGAGCGAGGCTGATAACAAATTTTGGAAACACAGAATTTCACACCTCATTGCGCAAGCATTAAGGTGACAGTACCTGTGATTATTTCCTCCCTATTGCCCGTCCCCTGGGGTGGCGGCCAGCCGATGGAGGCCAGGCTGAGGGGAGGCCAGGGGGCTCCAGGATGGAATTGGGGGCACGGCCATGCCAGCCGGGGGTGACCTTGAGGCCCCCCGAGGGGGCAGTGACACCAGGGGCCTCTGTCTGGCAGATCAAGGCCTTTGGCTGCTCCCCCCTGCGGCCCCCCTGCTGCCCCCGCCTTCCAGTCATTGCTCCTGACGTGGGTTCCCAGCAAGCCGGCCAGGTGGCTGCATGCTCGCGCCTCCTGGGACGCAGCACAGACAGCTGCGCTAGACAAAGCCCAGACCGCGGGGCCTGCTCAGTAAAACTTACCATCACGCGTGTGTGTCTCAGCCCAGCGGCTCCCTAAGCATCATGATGGCCGAGGCCTGGCCACTCTGGCTGGAGAGGCTCACGGGGGGGGTGGGGGTCGGGGAGGGAAGGGATTAGGGGAGGGGGTCTCAGGCCAGTCTCAGACACCCCCAAACATTAGGGAAGACTGAGGGGGGAGAAGGAGGAGGCCAGAGGTCAACCCCAATTCCAGCAGGTCAGGGAGGGAGGGGGAGGAGGGAGAGAGGAACCCACTGCTCTGTTCCTCACACCAGTCTGAAACCACCCCAACTGCCCCCCAGGAATGCAGAAAGCCCCCACTTTTGCCCGCACTCCCTGGGGGACGCTTGAGCAGACCTCTGAACTTCTCAAATGTGACCTTGTTTCCAGCTCCTTTCCTAACATGCAGGGGGCTGGGGCACACAGGGTCACTTCATGCCCCCCAAGGCCGCCTTGAATAGCATGAGGAACGTCAGGAGAGAGGAACTCCTAGCCCCCCAGCCTGGTGTCTCTCGGTCCCCTCTGCTGCCTGGAAGACCGACATTCCTGCATTCCAGGACGGAGGCAACCAGGAGGGGTAAGAGGCAGGGAAGGGCCGCTCCCAGCCTAGGGCAGGTGGGGCCACCCAGAGGCCTCAGCTGGTAACTGACGCCAGCTCTCCCCTCTCAGGGGCAGCTCTGGCCAGGTGGCCAGATGGGCCAAGGGGAGAGCCCAGGCCAAGACAGGGGCACCTCCTGCCCCGTGCCCTCCACCACACCCTCAGGCTGTGCCCAGTTTGCCCCAGGCAGGGTCACTGCTAGTTCAACGGGTTGTGCTCTGGACTCAAGCTCCTGGGGGCAGGAAGGAGGAAGCCAGAGCTTCCCACCCCATTGTGCTTGTAGCATCCACAGACCCAGCGCCCAGGGCTGAGGGGGAGGACACTTGTCTCGTAAAGTCCTTTGAAGACTTGGCAGGACTTTGAAAAAGGAAAACAGCAAAAATGGTTTCTTTCTGCAATGAATAAATGCTTTTTTCCAAAAATCTTGGAGAAGGCTGCAATTTAAGAAAAGAATGCTCTGCCCAGCAGCCATCACGCCTGCACTTCCTTCCAGTCTTTTTTCTCGACTTTGGCCAAGAATCCCACTGCATCAGTAATCTTGTTTCTTGCTGGTTCTCAAGCAGAATTATTTCCATCTGTTTATACAAATTCAGTAGAGACAATGAATCTATGGCAACACAGCAGCTAGGCCATGGTTTGACCACATTGGCTGATAATTTCTTACCTGGGACATTTAGGGTTTCAGATTTTACTGCTGGTTAATGGTTGGCTGTGGCATCCTGGCTAGAGGACGCTACAAATAATACGTATTTGCTTTAGAAAACTTAGAAAGTACAGAAAAAGACAGAAGTCACAATCACCACGTGAGTATTCATATATGCAACCCGGGTGTGAGCGTGTGAGTCTGAGTGTGTATGCAGGAGCACAAAGATGTGATTCCGTGAGCGTGTGTATGTGAATGTGTGTGAATAGGTACGAATAGTGTATGTGTGCATGTGAGTATTGTGAGTGTGGGTGTGTATATACGGGCTTGTGCGTGGGGGGGATACATGTGTGGTAGTGTGTACCTGAGAGCATGAGTATGTGGGAGTGTGTGTGGGAGAGTGTATGTGAGTGTGCACGTGGTAGTGTATATGTGTACACGTAGTGTGAGTGTATATGTGTGAGGGTACATGCATGAGTGTGCATGTGTGAGGGTGTGAGAGTGTGTATTTGTGAGGGTGTGATGTGAATGTGCAGGAGTCTGCGTGTGCGAATGTGCACGTGGGGTTGTGTATGTGCATGCGGAGTGTGAGTGTGCATGCCTGTGTGTGGGGGTATGCACGTGGGAGTGTGTGGGCGTGCTCAGGGACATGCATGTGCTGTGTCTGCGCACACTCATAGAGAGACACCCCCCAGCGCGGTCAGGCCTCTCCCTACGAGATGCCTGGCGGCTGTGCCATCTGGGCCCTGGGGCTCCAGCTGGCCTCTGGGTGCCCATGGCGGCCCTGCGTCCTCTGCTCTCTGGGCTCCGGAGACTCCTCCCCTGCCCCAGCCCCACAGGCCTCCTGGGTGGGGGCGGCGTCCACGTCATCACAGACCCCCCTGCTCCCGGGACCTGGCACTCAGCGTGTCCGGGTCCTGCCACGTCTCCACTACTGTCCCCTTCAGGTGCCACCTCCTTGCTCCCTGGGAGCTCAGAGGCGCCCTCACTGCTCCCTGCTCCCACACCCACACCTAAGCCTCGGCAAGCCTGTTGTTTTATTTTCAAAATGTGTCGGAATCCAGCCACATCTCCCCTCCCTCTGTAGCTCAGCCAAGCCCCCAGCATCTCTCTCCCCAGAAACAACCTCTCAGCTCCTTCCCTACAGCATGGCCTGGTGAAAAGCCTCACTTGGGGCCATTAACCAGGTCCCTTCCCCTCAGGAGCCAAGGCTCCTCCCCCCACATGCCTCCAAGCCCCGCCTGCTACCTGAGGGCCCTTCTTTCCTCACCTCCAGCCACACAGGCCCCTTGTGTTGCTCAGACACCTGGCAGGTCTCTGCCCCTGGACCTTTGCAAATGCTGTCTCCGCTGCCTGGCATCCTTTGCCAGAGCCCTGCAGGGCCCATCCGTCTCTTCCTCCAGGCCTCAGTCAGAATGTCCTTTTCAGTAACTTATCACCTTCCCTGCTTTATTTTTTTCCCCAGCATTTATAGTTTATTAAATTATTTCTTCATGTATTTAGTACTTACCACCCACAAAACTTCATAGCTCATCAGATGTCCACAACCATCCCAGAGGGCTTGGTCCCCCACCTCGGGCAGGAGGATGGGACCAGAGGTTGGCCGGGCCTGTTTTGCATTAGAAGAAAGCCATGGGCAGTCGCCTGTCCTCTGTCTGTTCTCCCAGTACCCAGAGGATTCTGGAGGCCCGGGGAGTCACGGCCCAATCAGCTCTGCAAACAATACTTCCGAGCCTTCTCCTCCTTCACCAGAGTCGGTGCCAGGCACCGTGTGGGCACCAGACGGACAGAAAGCTGGCAGGCACTCCAGGGCCCCGGGGTCCCATCCCGGCCCCTTTAAAGAGATGTGACCCACCCATGTGGGTTCTCCCTGTGGTGAGGAAAACCCTGCCGTGGGCATTGGCCCGGACCCCTGAAATCCATCCAGACCAACCACTTCCATCACCCGCCAGTTGGCCCTCTGAGCCTTGTTCCTGCTCGGGATCTGGGCTTCAGCAGGGTCAGGGCCCGTGGGCTGAGCCGCGTCCGCTCCCCGCACCTGGGCCAGGACCGCCCTTGGCACCCTGCTGCTCCCTTTGTTGCTCGGAACCACGTGGCAGCCTGGCACCCAAGGATGACATCAGAAAAGGGTCTTGCGGGTGACCACGGTGAGGGGAGCGGCACGTTGGCCTCGGCTCCCGCTGCAGTCCTGACCACCCCGGCCCTCGGCCCAGCTCCAGGGCAGGGCTCTGGAGAGCTGCAGGACGGGGTCCTTCTTCCCTTGAAGGCCCTGGGAGTCCTGTGGCTCACCCAACACCATGCCACACCCTGACACTGGCCCAGCGACACTCACCGCACACTCACCTTGTGCCAGGTGTCGTGGGAGGGGCTTCCCTGCATCTCACCGCCTGCCCCCCCTCAGAGTGGATCCCCAGGGTGCCAAGGGCACCCAGGAAGTCTGTCAAGGACGAGGGGTTCTGAGACCCACAGCTCAGGGCGTTAGTCTGCTGTGAGCCCCCTTCAGCCACCGACCGCAGGGAGAGGGCGGCAGGGCCTCAGGGAGCAGCCAGCTGAGGGGTCTTTGGGGGCTGCTGCCCACCGCCTAGCCACGTGGCCAGCTCCTCCATCCTGGCCTCTCGGCCCCACGCAAGCCTGGTCGAGAGCAACCCAGCAACGAGCCCCCAGGCACCATGCCCAGCACCAGGCTGGTGGGTCAGGAGAGCCGGGTCCAGGTCCTGGGGTCCCTCTGACTCAGCCTCGCCCCTCCAAGTCCAGGCTCTTCCTCTGGACACCAGGTCCAGCTACCGCCTTCCCCGGCGCAGGGTTCTGAGAAAGCTGTTTAAACTGTGTGGGCCCCACCCCGTGGGTGACTCATGACTGTCGGAGGCCAGAGGCCTTGCGCCGGGAACAGGGAAGTCCCGCCATGATCAACACGGGCCCGATGGACAGACAGGCGCCCTTTATCACCCCTCCTGGACATCTGGTGCTGCCACTGAGCACCACCGGAAAAGAGGCCACAGAGGCTGGGCCAGGGATGCAGCCAGGGCCCAGGCAGACGCTGAGGGCTCCTGCCGGCCGGCCGGGCCCACACAGCAGCCTCCTTGTTCGGGCCTCGGCGGCCGTGGGGCCGTGTTGATCTTGGAGGGCTCGCGGGTGCTCGCTGGGTTCCAGGCGAGGTGGTCCATGGCTGCTTTATGGAAATTATTTTATGGTCCATGTAGGTGTTGGGCAACTCCCATCCTGCAAATATTTCCAGGCTAAAAATACTCGGTCACGCACCCCGGTGGAGAACTCAGGGGCCCAGTGTACCGGCACATCCCGGCCCACAAGCCCAGGCACGCAGCGGTGCGCCTGCTCTTGTGAACTCAGCTCAGCTCCGCAGAGGTCCTGGCCCGTGGATGGCAAAGCCCCCTCAGCGCTCAGGGCGCCCCCACACTGATGTCCGAGCAAGCAGCCTTTGGATGGTCATAGCTTCAAGACTCCCGATGCCCAGGCCCCGCCTATCTGCCCCCACCTCTCCGTCCACCTCTGCAGAGGAACGCCAATGCCTATTTCAAAATTTGGAAGTCAAGAATCAGCTTCTACATTGTCTAATGTTCCTCCAAAATGCTAAACACAGATAAGATCCTCGGCCTTATTGGAAAGGGGCCCAAAGGGGTGGAAAGCAGGGGCTCTGTGGACAGTCATAAGCAGCCTCACTCACAGCAGCCAAAGGGCACAAGCAGCCCAGGTGCCCATCGACACGTGTGGACTACGGCGACACAGGCAGCCCTCGAGTCCCAGCATCCTACATCCGGGATCCAACCGACTGGATGGAAAGTGGATGGAAAGTCCGTACCACATGGTTGTGTCTGTCCTGAGCATGAACAGACTCTGTTCTGCCATTACCCCCTAAACAATCCAGCATGACAACCCACTACTTAGGTGGCATTATGCTGGGTTTGGCATCATGGTAATCCAGAGGTGATTTCAGTTAGACAGGGAATGTGCCGAGGTCACGTGCACACGCCCCATCATTTCCTATGAGACTTGCGCCTCCAAGGTTCCCAGTACCTGGGGCTCCTGGAACCAACCCCAGTCCCCCATGGATATCGAGCAATGGCTACATAGCCACACAGTGGACTGTCACTCGGTCTTAAAAAGGAAGGAAATTCTGACATGTGCCAAAAGCCTGATGTACCTTGAAACCCTGCTAAGTGAGAGGAGCCGGACACGGAAGGACCATCACTGTGTGAGACGGATGCGCGGCGCCCAGACCAGTCGAGTCTGTAGAGATGAGCGGTGGAGGGGGACAGGCCTGGAGACAGTCTTCTGGGGGCAGAGGCCATGATGGCTGCACATGACGCGGGTGCCCTTAAACACCACCAAGCAGTGCACTTTGAAATGGCACTTATTGACCAATAAGGTATATTTTATGTGTTGCATATTTTATTACAATATACCCCCCCCCCCATTAACTTCTTCCTTTCCCGTGAGCAGTGGTGCCTGTATGGAGCAATACGGAGCCATGTGTCTCCCTCCAGGGGACATTGGTGATGCCCAGAGGCATCGTTGGCTGTCACAGCTGGGAGTATAGGGAGGGAAGCTACTGACATCAGTGCGTAGGGGCGGGGATGCTACCCTGCCTTCTACACAGCCAGGCTCACCCAGCCTTCTACACAGCAGAGCACAGCCTGATGGGAAAGAACCATCCGGTCCTCAAAACTTAATTGGGGTGGGGGGATCCCCAGATCACTAAAAACAAAGCATCAGTGTTTCAGAAATACCTAGATTATCTCTCACTGTGTCCTGCTAGGGAAACAAAATATGTTCCTTTCTTTTTTAAAAAAAAATAACTGTGTCCTTTTATTTTTATGTTCCAATTATAGCTTATTATTTATTAATTCTATGCTCTCAAAGGTGAACTACATCGTCTAGTTGTCATTGACCAATTTAACATGGCCGACACTTCAGGGTCACCCTCTGAGTGATCTGGTAACGGTTTACACATGAATTTAGTGAGGGTTTTATCTATTCCTCCTGTGAAAATTGTCTTTTTTAAAAAAAATTATTATTATTACTAATATTTATTTATGCATACAAGAACTGGGGTCAGAGGTATGGGGGTGAGAGGATTCCCCAGAGACAAGTGGGGAGCAAACAGGTGCATCTACTGAACCCCACTGCTGAGGGGAGCAGCGGGGAGACAGGAGAGGTCTGCTGTACCCTGTGGGTAGCTCTCTGGTGGGGACAGAACTCTGGCCATCAGGATGATAGCCTTGACTTAACCCCTAGGCCACCTGGGAGGCCCCAAGACTGTCATTTTTTTATTTACTTGTTTTTTCCCAGCACTGACTCCTCTGCCCCTCTCCTTCCTTCCTGTCCGCTTCCCGTCGGAAATCCCAGTTACGTTACCAGTGTCCACTATTTATAACGATTTTGCTGCGCAATTCACCAACTTTGATTCCTTACTGTACTCACCTACATGAAATTACCTGATCATTGTCCTTGTCGTTCTGACTTCACTACACGCAGTTCCCTAGAATCCCTTCTATTTTGCTATAAATGGCAATATTTTCTCTTCCCGCATGCTGGGCAGCGAACCATTGTTTACACGTCCCCTGTAATTCGGTCTTCGCACTGGGCACTTAGGCTGTTCCGTGTCCTGGCTGTTGTAAATAACACTGCAATAAACATTGTGGACCACAAAGGTTTTTGATGGTTTTGTATTCTTTGAATAGATAACCCAAAAATGGAATTGCTGGGTCATATGGTAGTTCATTTAAAAAATTTTAAGATAGTGGCAGTGCCAGTGTCCATGACCCCCAGCACGTATTGGGCTCCTGTTTCTGCACATCCTCTCTGCACAATCTCTTCTTTACGTACGCCACTATCACCGGCACGCGATAGCTCTGTGGTTTTGACTTGCCAAAATCCCTTCTAAAGAAAAACAGTCACAATTTTAATTCTTGCACTGGCTAAAACTAACTCCCCTAGGGTTAGAGTTAAGGTTAGGGGAGAGGGGTGTAATGTGTTCTGGTGGGGGCTTCCGGTGACCCTGGCCCCATGGGCCCCAGGCACCTTGGGTCAGTACCCACAGTCCCTGTCCTTACTGTAGGTCAGCTCTCCTCCCCGGGGCTGGCCCTCAGTGAGCACAGCTGGGCTGGTGACTTGAGCAGGACCACCAGCATCAACCCCAATCTCCTGGAGTGAGGGCAAGGAGGGACCCCAGAATCCAAGAATAGCCATGCCCCCCACAGGGGTTAGAGACAGCGCTCTCAAGCTCTGGCCAGCCTCTGCAGCATAACTTTGACCCCCTGGCTGGCCAGGAGCAGCCCACATGGTGCTCTCCTGTCCCTTGGCTTCTCCCCTCAGCAGTGGATTTCAGTCAGTCTGCCTGTTCTGTTCCCCACTATGTCTCTGGGGAGTCTTCTCAGACCCCTGCACATCTGGCATACACCCCAGTTCTTGTATGCATAAATAAATAAATCTTAAAAAATATAAAGGAAGAAAACATGTAAAAAAAAAAAGGCATTAGGGGGTCACCTGAAGAATACCACCCCTCCTTCCCATACTGGATACCATGTGGGCCCTGGTCATTCCTTGCAAAAGCAAATTGTTTAAAGTGACTTGTGAGGACTTTGTGGACCCACTTGACTGAGAGGTCTGGGGAAAGGTGCCAGGGAGTCAGGCATGGCTGGATCCAGGAGCAGGAGGTACGTCGCTGCGGCTCCTGCTTTGGCTAACTACCTTTCCTTCCTGTTCACCCCAGGTCTCCCTGGGGCCATGGCCACCTCCAAGACGGCCCAGAAGGCAGCCCCTCCCACCTGTGTTGTCACCAGAGTGCCTGACCCCGGCACATGACACTGGCCAGTCTCCCAGAGCAGTGCCAGCCACCCCCCCCACCAACCCTCCGGGATTCCCACAGAGCGCTCTGATCACATCCGCACTCCTGGGCCAGGAGCGGCGCCGTGACGGGCAGGGTTTTCCCAAGGGGAGAGACACTGGCAAAGAAATGCAGGACCCAACCACCTACCTTGGCCAGATCCATACTGGAGAGAGCGAGTTTTTGGTCACAGTTCTTGGGGTGAGGATGTGTACTCATGTTTGGGGGCCACCACTCAC